AACATGGAATCAATCTTGGGCAAATAAAACCATTTTCCTCCTTGTGCATCAGTTCTGTTGACCATCAAGTTCACCTGGTAAAATTCAGACACAACTTCCGAGAACGGTTATGAAAATCAAATATAATAAGCTTGGGAAACATTCTGGAAGGCAAAAAACACAAAGAAATGAACCAACAATCCTATCTCTGGTTGAGGGCAAACCTCCTTCCCGTTCCTATTTTCACACTGATGAGAACTGGATCTATCAGAATCCAGGTTGGTCCGAGAACGGCTTCACTACAAACCCTGGATCCCTGGATCTCACTGGCACATCACTGATGCAGATTAGGCCTCAGTTCTCTGTGACCCTAATGCACACTTCAAACTGCCAGTGTTGAGGTCCCAGCGAGTTCATACTAGGATGTGAAATCACAAACGTCAGAATTAAAGATGAGAAGCGTGTCCTCCAGCAAGGAGGTCACTCAAACTACCATGTGTCACGCTTCACCAAAGCTCGGACAACATCAATTGTAACGGACATAATTATTTTATGCCATTAAGAAAGGAAAAGAATCCTTAATAATTTAGACTCCTACAGTTGTAAGAAAGAAACATTTAAATGTGAAGAAATGTGCATTTCATGATCAGGAAGCAAAATGGTTTAAAAATTGTTTTTTAAAGTTTGAAAAATAATAAGATAGAGGTAATAATTAATAAACGAAAACAATGTAGCAGGACCTTTCTATGTATCTGTCATGACCCAACATGCTCCAAAAAATGACACAGGAAAAATTATCCCATGTGATCCATAGAAGCAATCCTAAAAGATGCTTGCTCTAACACATTTAACCTCTTCATTTAAAGAAAAGCATTTTTAACTCTGACAGAAGCCCAAAAAGGAGCAAAAAGTAGAATTGTATAGAAAATCAAATGAGAAGTTCAAGAGATCAGTATGTGAAGAAGCCACAAACCAATTCTAGATGTATTCACATGCCTCCCAAAGTCTCTTCCGTGTAGGAAAATTTATTTTAGGACTAAAATACCAAGAACAATCATGCTTTGTTTAGAAACGGGTGCTGGTGACACAGATTAGGAAGTAACAACATTCTGAATAGTTGGGCAGGTTTCTTGAGGCAGGAGTTTGAAACCTTTTTCTGTCAAGGGCCACACAGGAAATAGTCCCAGCTTCATGGACCACTCAGCTCTCCTGCCGTAACACGGGAGCTGCCCCAGACAGTCTATACACAACCCGGTGTGGCCACGCTCCTATAATACTTTCCTTATAAAAACGGGAGGCAGCCCAGTTTTGCTCCGGGGACCATGGTTTGCAAACCTGTGCCTTAGAAGACAAATAAAGCTGAGATTGTCTTACAAATAAACACATTGGGTCAAACATATCTAACAGTTTAGCTCTTCCACCTGTAGGAGAATCTAGAGTGCTTCTGGGTCTCAACGTTTAGGAAAGTTTAAGGTCATGAAAATAGGGAGCCTGTATGCACTCTTAGTAAGTCGCTGATAACCGAGAGGAAGGCAGCATTGTGTGAGGTGTGCCTCAGTGAGTGAATAAGTAGTGAGTGAGTAGTGAGGTCTGCCTCAGTGAGCGAGTGAGTAGCCTCCAAAATGCCACAACAGGGGTCAGTCCATCAGGATTCAGTCTCCCTCAACATAACAGTCAGCCATACTGCAAAAGAGAAAGGAAACACATACAGAGCTGTACAAGTGACCAGCGGAACTGAAATCGAACAGCGAGGCTCGAGTTATTTGGCTGTCAGGATGAGGCGCGCCCACAGAGGGCTCACATTAACCGGTCCCTACCTTTGCTGCCTCTTGACTTTCAATTGACCTCTCCTGCCAGACTAGGAATCACCATTTGTACAGGAGTCCCATTTTAACAAACTGCATTTGGTTCAGAAGGCCTCATGATTGCTTCAGAGGGAACAGTTATCCCAGAAGCGTGCTGTCACATTAAGAGTTTCCAGGGACAGAGGTTTCAGATGACCTTCAGTTCTATCTTCCTTCTCGGATATCAGAAGTAACAGTGTCAACCCAGAGTCACGGAGAGTAGGGGGTAATGTGTTTATGAAGCAAACAGCGTGCTACATCTTGTTCCCCAAGATCCTACAACAGCATATTTTAACTCCTGTGGATGTATGGTTTATGCGAAGCACAAAATACAAAATATAAGTAGGTGTGTGTGTTAGGGAACATACAAGACACTGCCTCAGCTCATCACCTTTGTTTTACTCCTGATGACTCTGCTCTGCTCTACGCTTCAAGGGGCCTGAACCACTTCAGTGTATTTGCTTCTTGGAATAGATACACCTTAGAGTGAGCCCCACAGAGTCACAACCTCTCCTGATGTCTGCGTGTGTGTGTGTGTGTGTGTGTGTGTGTGTGTGTGTGTGTGTGTGTTTGGGGGTGAAGGGCTGCTGACTCGCTTCTAACCAGTAGAATACAGAAAAGTGGAATGGATGTCACTCCTGAGAATATGCTGTGTTATATGAGACTTGGTTTCAGCAGACTGGAGATCAGGCTTCTCCTGCTGGAGAAGAGCCACGTTGTGACCTGCCTGGGGCGGTGGGGGGGGAACACGTGAGGGACCTGTAGGCTACTTACAAGTGCTAAGAGTGGACCCCGGCCAATAGCCATTGAGAAAACGGGACCTCAGTCCTCTAACCATAAGGAAATGGATTCTGCCAACAAGTGCAATGAGCCTGTTAGCAGAGTGTTAGCAGAAGCGGTCGAGCCCCCACACAAGAATGGAACGCGGCGAACACCGTGGTTACAGCCTTTGTGGGGCCCGGAGGCAAAGAATGCATTTGAGTCGTGTCCAAACTCCTGACCCACAGAAACTGTGAGATAATATATGGTTGTTGTTTTAAGCCACTAAGCTTGGGGGTAATTTGTTAGGTACCAGTAGATAACTAATAAGAGATACATTAAATTGAATGCCAGGTCAGCATATGTTTTCCGGAGAAGTCTGGCCTGAATCCCTGAAGAAGCCAAAATGTTTTGAGAAAACGGATGTCAGCTCCCTTGATGGAGGACAGAAACCATGATTTACGCTACTCTGGAGCATCCCCACCATCCAGAAAAGGGCTGGCGACAAAGACATATGAAGCTTCTTCTTCCATCCGATGTGACACTACATCATTAGCTTCGCTGTGAGTGTCCTTACAGAGCAATTGGCTAAAAAAACTTTGCGTATCTGCCAATTGTATGTATTATTCAGGCATTTTCACGTTTGCGATTACAAAATGCTTCCAAAGACTTAGTTGACCGCAATCCTCGGGTCTGAAGTGCTTCCGGCAACACAGACGTCAGTCCGTAAGAGTTTGCAAGCCGCCAATATTCCAAGCAGTCACAAAATGTTGAGTACGACTTTTGGAGCAAGACCAAAGCGAGATTAGGAAGACCTCATATTGATCATGTTCGTAATTGAGAAACTTCCACTCTGCTTTTCCCAAACAACGCCGAACGCTCTCCTGGGAGAACCCAATTACACCACCACCCTTCATAGTTGTCCGAGGCGTGCCCAGCCCCAGCTGCACCTGGACACAGGGAAAAGTGTCAGACTGGGTCTTTCTACCTAGAGTTGGGGAGCCATCCGACTTGATGAGCCCCAGCCTCCCAGTGCTTCCACACATGACTCTCATGGACTTGCTATGTGCCTTCTCTTATCTCCACGTTTACCGGGAAGGCCAAGGATACCAGGGGACTGTGGAGATACTTTATCCCCCATAAAATCGATGGAGGTCTTACTAGCCCAACTCCACATTCATATTCTCAGAATAGAATCTGCGCGCCATCCAAGGGGACACACAGGCAACGGGACCATGCGAACACCTCACGCGAGGGAAGGCTGGACCGCTAGGTGTCTCTGGAGGAGCTCAGAAGAGCTCCCTATCAGCCTCCAGTTCCGTTCAGAGAAGCCCAGTAACATCATGTCACTCTGATGCTATGGGGCGTGTCTTCTGGCTGGCTCCCCACAGCTCCCTACAGAGCTTCTTGGATTGCCACAGTAGACTCCCCAACCACTGCTCTGCACAGGCCTTGTGGACTTCGCCCATTCTCCTTTCTTCAAGAGGCCACCATGCACTCAGCCCGACTCCTGCTCCTCCTGGCTATGTCTGAGCACATCCTAGGCTGGGTCAGGCCCCAGACCCCTGGTTTGCTCTGGAGGAGACAGCCCAGTAGAGCAGCTGTCCCCTCTGGAGCATGACTGATGAGTTTAGACAGGAACTTTCCAGGACAATAACACCCTTCATGACCTACCTGAGAGCATAGGGCAAGTAAGATACCTCCCATACAGTCAAAAGTAGGTGAGACTTCCACCCAGGATAGGGGGTGAACAATGATGTGGAAATGTTGAGCACCACACTACATATAAAATGGGTGTCTTCTCCCACCAGCAGGTAAACTTCAACATCATGCTGACAGTTACTTGCAGAATAGCCCATGAGGGCAGCCTTAGTTTATACCTTTAAGAAGGTTCTAGTCTCCTGGGGCGCCTGGGGGATCAGTCAGTTAAGCGTCCGACTTCAGCTCAGGCCAAGATCTTACAGTTCATGGGTTAGAGCCCCGCATTGGGCTCCGTGTTGACAATTCAAAGCCTGGAGCCTGCTTCGGATGTTGTGTCTCCCTCTCTCTCTGCCCCTCCCCTGCTTCCATTCTGTCTCTGTCTCTCTCAAAAATAAACATTTGAAAAAAAATTCTTTTAAAAAGGCTCATAGCATATGTAGTAAACGCTATTCTTGTGTGTCTGATTAACCAATAATGGAAGCAGGGGGTCGCTAGGTTTTAAGAAATCTCAATAATGTTTTTCTTTTTTACGTGAACACACACACACACGCACACACGCACACGGAAACACACACAGAAACACACACACACATCGCCGAAGTAAACTGATCTCCCCGACCTGCAGAAGAACGCGGGTGCCCTTCCATACCAGTGATCCCCACGGAGATTTACACCGCGTGCTACGGTTCCCCTGATGGGACACGGGCGCGGTCTTACCTCGCAGAGGCTGTGGCACTGCTCCTTCTGTAGGTCCCAGGTGTCCTTGCACGGCTCCAGACACTGGGAGAGAGCAACAAGAAGAGTTAATAAACAAACGGACAGGAACAAGGCCAAAGGAAGAAACCCCGTGCGCCTCACTTTTCCATGTCTGCTCGTCTGCTTTGTTTAGCAAAGCCAGCTCCTCAGTGGATCACATCAACGTTGTATGAGCAGGGCCATCCCTACAGAACAGGAACCAATACAACCGGAGAAGAGTTGCCCCGTCTGCAGGTGCCATGTAGGGAAAGTAGTGGTGCCCACCACCAGGCAGAACACTATTTAGATGACAAGTATTTGTATTCAGTAAGAAAGGTTCTCTAGGGGCTCCTGCCTGGCTTGGGTCAGTGGGGCGCACAGCTCTTGATCTCGGGGCTGTGAGTCTGAGTCCCACGTTGGACGGAGACATCCCTTAAAAACGAAGTCTTTAAAAAAAAGGACAGAAGAAATGTTTTCTACAGGTTGTTGTCACAGATGAATTTTGTTTTTTCATAAACTCTACCATGGACTTGTTTTCAACCGGCAACATGGGCCTGTTTTCTCGATTTCTTTTTAAAAATTTTTTTTAATGTTTATTTATTTTTGAGACAGAGAGAGACAGAGCATGAACAGGGGAGGGGCAGAGAGAGAGGGAGACACAGAATCCGAAACAGGCTCCAGGCTCTGAGCAGTCAGCACAGAGCCCGACGCGGAGCTCGAACTCACGGACTGGGAGATCATGACCTGAGCCGAAGTCGGACGCTTAACCAACCGAGCCACCCAGGTGCCCCTTTTTTCTCTATTTCTATATATTCTCCCGCAGGTGACTGGGTGAAGTTTCAGTGTGTTAAATATATGTAATAGGTACTTGTTAACTAATGCCTTCAGCTCAATGGGTCTACCAGTATGAACACGTATCCAGTTTAATTACTTTGCCAAAATGCATTGAATACACTGTAACATAAAGACTTATGAAATAAATATAAAGAATATATAAATTCAACCTAAAAATATTAAAAAACTATTCAGAATACAGAATAAAGCCTGAATATATGTATAAAATTTGTCACCATATATATATTTAAACACATCAGAGGTGATGGCTAGGCTCCACTGTTCAATAACAGCCATCATAATAAATATTAATAATAATAATGTAGGGGCACCTGGGTGGCGCAGTCGGTTAAGCGTCCGACTTCAGCCAGGTCACGATCTCGCGGTCCGTGAGTTCGAGCCCCGCGTCGGGCTCTGGGCTGATGGCTCGGAGCCTGGAGCCTGTTTCCGATTCTGTGTCTCCCTCTCTCTCTGCCCCTCCCCCATTCATGCTCTGTCTCTCTCTGTCCCAAAAATAAAAATAAACGTTGAAAAATAATAATAATAATAATGTACAGCACATATAATAGTATATATTATATATAAAATGTATGCATATTTATATAATAACAATAAAGATTATGGGATAAAGTATATATACATGTATAATATAGTTTACTACTATATATAACACTAGTATAATATATGTTATAGTACTATGTATATTACATGTATACTACATACCTTATATATACTATACCATGGATCTATGTATCTATACGCACACACACACACACACACACACACACACATTTATGTATACTGCAGCACTATATATACACTACATATACCACATAAAATACAGTACTATAAATAATATATAATACTATATACACTCTATATAACATATAGTAATACATAAGAGATAACACCCAGTCCTCATGGTTGAAATTAAAATGTTACATTAACACAGTGGAGATTTGATTCTCAACTTTATGTTCTAAAGCAAGTTTTAATTAGTAAAAATTAACAGCCTAGGTGGCTTAGTTAGTTGAGTGTCTGACTCTTGATTTTGGCTCAGGTCACGATCTCAGGGGCTAGAGATTAAGCCCTGCAGTGGGCTCTGTGCTGGGCATTGCACCTGCTTCGGATTCTCTGTCTCTCCCTGTCCCTCTGCCCTTCCACTGGCTCACACGTTCACACGTGTTCTCTCTCAAAAAAATTAACAGTTATGTAGCTAAATGTCAGTCATCTAAATACCCAGGCACCCATAAGGTCCTTATTATTTTATCTATGATCATTATTTCATTATTGACCAAGTTTTCAATTAAGGTCAAAATTCTCAGTTAAATTCCAGATATGCATACTCTAGAACTCAGGATACACACTGAAAGTGTTTTTTCACTGTCCTTGGTAGTCACCTCCCGCTCTGTTTTTAAAATAAAGATCTAGTTTGGCGGCACCTGGGTGGTTCAGTCCGATAAGCGTCCACCTCTTGATTTAGGCGCAGGTCATGATCTCAGGGTTCATGAGTTTGAGCCCCACATCGAGCTCGGTGCTGACCACACACAGCCTCCACAGATCGATCCTCTGTCCCCATCTCTCCCTGCCCCTCACCCACTTGCTCTCTGTCACTCTCTATCAAAAATAAACACTTATAAATAAATAAATAAATAAATAACTAAATAACTAACTAACTAAATAAATAAATAAATAAAGTTAGACCGTAAGACTCTATGGTGACACTTAATTTTCAGGTATCCACTGTCTTTTTCTTTTATATATACATATGAAAACAAAGTGCTGTCCATGTGTCAACTATCAGTCTGTCATGATAAAAGTGCTCAAATTGTCATCACTGGCTGATAACATGAACTTCATCTTGTAGTTTATCAGAAATGCAAATTCACAGCCTCTGCCCCTAGGCTTAGAGTCAGAATCTCTGGGGTGGGGACCCAGAAATCCCTTGTAACAAATTCTCCCGGGAAATTCTGAAGTTTACTAAACTTTAAAAAGAACTGCCTTATTGTGGTACACCTTTCTCAAGAGATACCTGTATCAAATCAGCACATTGTGGGGCGCCTGGGTGGCTCAGTTGGTTGAGCGTCTGACTTCGGCCCAGGTCATGATCTCGCGGTTTGTGAGTTCGAGCCCCGCATTGGGCTCTGTGCTGACAGCTCAGAGCCTGGAGCCTACTTCAGATTCTATGTCTCCCCCTCTCTCAGCCCTCCCCTGCTCACGCTCTGTGTCTCTCTGTCACTCAATAATAAATAAACGTTAAAAAAGTTTAAAAAAATCAGAACATTGTACAACTTAAACTTCTACAACACTTTGAATCAAATCTCAAAAAACCTAGGGTAGCAAAATGAACGGCTGCAGGATTCGATGGAAAAAAAGAGTTCACAATGTCTCTTGTTTTGGTTTTTAAGAAAAACCTATTTCTTGTAAGAATATTTTATATTCTTTAGTGTTGCATAGGAACAATTCATTTTTCAGTTATCTCAATCTTATTTTCTTTTACTTTATTTTTTTTAACGTTTATTTATTATTAAGAGACAGAGAGACACAGAGCGTGAGCAGGGGAGGGGTAGAGAGAGGGGGAGACACGGAATCTGAAGCAGGCTCCAGGCTCTGAGCTGTCAGCACAGAGCCCAACGTGGGGCTCGAACTCACAAACTGCGAGATCATGACCGGGGCCGAAGTTGGTCGCTTAAGCAACTGAGCCACCCAAGCGCCCCTAATTTTTTATTTACTTTAGAGAGACAGACCCTGCAAGCATGGGGGGTGGGGCAGAGAGAGAGGGAGACAGAGACAATCCCAAGCAGGCTCCACACACAGAGTCTGACATGAGGCTCCATCCCACGGCCCTGGGATCATGACCTGAACCGAAATCAAGAGTTGGACACTCAACGGACTGCGCCCCACAAACGCCCGTATTTTATTTTTTAAAACTTGAGCTCTTTTATGATACTTCTCTAAGGCCTGCACGAATTTGTCCCCAGTTCACTGGTGTTCACCCCTCCCAAGTATATTAAAGCAAATCACAGGTTTTGCCAATATAACAGTTCTAAAAGAACACCGGTTTCTAACAGCAATGAAATTGTTTAAAAACTTGTCTACCCAACATATTTTACGAGTTCCTTAAAGAGTCAGTCTTGTTTCCTGAAGGTAAGTCCGCTTCCTTATCCTCAGAGCTCTCTGTATGTTTTTAGGCATTGATTCCTAGCCACAGAGTTTAGTAGTCATTTACTAAGTATATCTAGACCTAATTCCTTCTCAAGACCATTTGGGGATAATAAATGGCACTCTTGAGGATACCTTGAGATTTTGTTCAGTTGAAGACATGCCCCATCATGTTTGAGGACCACTGCATGAGGTCTAGGGATTTTTCAGAAAGACAAGTTCAGCTATACTTACAAATGAAGTCTTTGTCACTTCATTCAGGAAACATAGAACATCCGTTCCACGTAAAACTGCTCGATGCAATGTGGCTAACAATGTCTCAAAATTACGTCATTCTAGCTTTGGATCATTACCAGACATGTAAATTGTGAAAACACGATACTACATACGTGCTTAGCTGCATTGTCACAACTACAGACATCAGTGCATTAAAAAGTTTCAATCCTTGGGGCGCCTGGGTGGCTCAGGCGGTTGAGTGTCCGACTTCGGCTCAGGTCATGATCTCACAGTTCATGGGTTCAAGCCCCGCGTCGGGCTCTGTGCTGACAGCTGGGAGCCTGGGGTCTGTTTCAGATTCTGTGTCTCCCTCCCTCTCTCTGCCCCCTCCCCCCACTCATACTCTGTCTCTCTCACTCTCAAAAATAAACAAACATTAAAAAAAAAGTGTTTTTAAGTTTCAATCCTTTGAGACCTCCGCAATTCCACATAATCCAATTCCTGACAGACTGTGGAACAAATACCTTATACGAAAGAAATATCATTTCCAAACACAGGCTTACTTGTGAAATGCTAATGGAAGCAATACATAACGCACTTGTCTTCTTGTTAATCTGAAATCTATCTGCCAAGTGCAGCATCAGTATGTGCAATTCATTTAAAGTTCTATTTTAATTGCAGGCTTTGCCTTATTTCCAATAACCAGTAGTCATCAGTGTCTAAAGATATATCACGAAATGTTATTAATGCCAACCAACATTTTCTTTTAATAATCCTCTGTGAAAACTATCTGACAAGAAAAGCCTGGATATAGAAATCAGAGTAAATCTTTG